CATTTACCCTCTGAACCAGAAGTTTTAGACACGCCCTAGATTCTTACCTTTCTCTTGACTACTTCATTTTATTACTCAATAGTCAATGCAAATACTTTCTCCTAGGTAGCCTTAATTATATTCTCTCATTGTCATTACTATTTCTATGCCTTTAGTCAGAACAGAACTTTGGTAATTTTACTTGCTTTACAATAAATGTCAAATCTCTAACGTAGCATATGATCTTAACCATTGCCCACCTCCCACTCTTCCCTCTTTCACTTTATTCTCCAGTAAGCTGATGCGATTATAGTTCTATATATATAAAAAAAATTGCTGATTCATGACTCCCTGCCTTTACATTTACATGGTTTTCTCTGCCTGGCATATCTCCTTTCTGCCTACTTGAAAAATTCCAAGTTATATCTATCAAAATTCCATCCAGGTGTCTCTTTCTCAAGGAAGTTTTTTTTAAACCTTACTCATACCAGTAAGAATTAATCACTTAATTTTTCTGGATTACTTTTTTTTTTTCTATTGTAGTACTTATTCTACAATATGTTGGCTCTCTATAGAATTCTTGTTACAGAATTACCTTTTGGTTTAATGGTATTTACCTACATTGAGCAATCCCATAAGAAACAGGCATGTGAAACTCTGTTTGGTTTCCTAAAACAATATTGTTGGGAGGTTATTCATTTAATTGCAAGTATTTCTTTTGGGGGGGGACTTACAAAATATATTTTGGGTCTTATGATATTAGTTATACTTCAAATTTGTTTAATATGGTAGCCATTATTAACACCTTCTTAAGTTGGTTGCTGGGAAATTTCAAGCCAAAATTGTGGCCCACCTCTAGCCAACCTAAGATTTTGTGATTTATAATGAACCTTATTTTAGACTCCAATGAAACATCCTTCTTTATGAGAACTGAAGTCATGGATAGTCAGTTTTCCCATATTGATAGAGAACTAGGAAGCAGTATGGGAACCATTGAGATACAGAACCTGCAGTCTGACATTGTTGCTTTATTCTAAGTTACTGTAGAATTGTTGTCCTCTGGAGGATAGATAGGTGGGAGATGCTTGGTACTTGAGAAGCTTAGGGAAGCCATATGTTTGCATTTTCATTGGAAATGAAATGGAAAGAGGTTGTTGAATAATTTTGAACTTTCCCATGAACCTAATTATTTCTTCCACTATTTGATATGAGAATTGTTTCCCTTCCTGTGTGAAAACAAGGGTTAATTGAGAAGTGAGGTATCCAAGAGGACCCAGAATTCCCAACTCCAGCTGTTTGGGTGCAGAAGCCACACGTTTCTTGATAGAAGGACCCTGGGAAAATGACCAGGTGTGTAGTTTCCACTGGAGGAAACACAGATCAATTTGTATGTTTATAGAGTAAGAAATTTAAAGGCCTGGAGTCTGCTACTTGTTTCTTGAGGACTGGTGTGACTATAGCATGGACACCAAAGGAAAAGCGCCTCCTTTTGGAGGTGCCCCTAAATCAGGATGAGGTCTTCATCTGGAGGTATTAGAAAATAAAAAACAATGTCTCTCATGGAGCTCCTGTTTTTTATAGATTTCAAGAGCTTATTATTAACTTACACAAATCCAAGATGGGAGTCTCGACTACACACAGGCGGGAAAAAGAAATTAAACCAAGGTTCCTAATGCTTTAAATGTTCATAACTTTTAAGAAAAATTCCAGGCTGGGATAAAAATCAAATTACAGGATCTGTGAACTTGGGTTTCACTGTATTCTGTATTTAAGAGAATGCACAGGAAAATTCCAATCTGTAACTTACACTATTAGGTTAAGTAAATTAAGGAAGTTAACCTTCAGAGAATGGAATCTTTTGATGATTATCTACTTGGAAATGTTGATTTTAAGTTAAGAAAGTATATATTTATTATAAAACATTGATTCAAAGTAAATATTGTGCTGACAAGTGTAAGATGAAAAGGTACAAAACCACATAAAAATGTTTTTAATGCATGCTTAAACAGTGCCTTATTTTCTAATATAAATACCTCTGACTCTAAAAATTTTTTGTATAATCAAGGGGAAAATATAATTCTGGTTTAACGGCCTCAGCGTCTCTGCTAAGTTACAAAATAAAAATCAAAGGTATGCAACTCGACTGTAGACCATGAATTATTGGTCATAAAAATTATTTAAAAACTCTTTCTGCAATAAGAACTTAAACTCAGTAAAATAAATCCATAGAACTTAATTTTAATCTAAGTTTATTTAATATTAATGATCTGGGTGAACACTTTCATAAATTAAATTGTATTGTGTATTTTGAGTTTAAAATGTCCTTGCTCTGATTTCTCCATGTATAAAAAAAAAATTACAAGTATAGCACTTTAGTTTATATAAAACCATGCCCCCATTTAAAAAAAAAGATTTTATTTTTTTTGAGTGGTTCTAGGTTTACAGAAAAATTGAGTGGGAACACAGAGTTTTCATATGCCTCTCACTCCTCCTTCCCTTGGTTTTCTCTATTAGTAGCATCTTGCATTAGTGTGGTACATTTGTCTCTATCTATGAACAAATACTGACACATTATTATTAACTAAAGTCCATAGTTTATATTATGGTTCACTCTTTGTGTGGTATATTCTGTGAGTTTTAACAAAATGTATAATGACATGTAATCACAGTACAGTATATACAGAATCGTTTCACTGCCCTAAATATACTCTGAGGTCCATCTATTCATCCTTGTTTCCCTATGAACCCCTGGAAGCCACTGCTTTTTACTGTTTCCGTAGTTCTGCATTTTCCAGAATGTCATATAGTTGCAATCATGCAGTATGTAGCCTTTTCAGATGGCTTCTTTCACTTAGCAAAATACATTTAAGTTTCCTTCATGTCTTTTCATGACTCCATAGCTCATTTAAAAAAATTGCTGAATACTCCATTGTATGAATGTACCAATTTGTTTAATCATTTACCTATTGAAGGACATCTTGTTAGAAGTTTGATAGCACACGACTTTTAAAACTGAAATGCCATATCAAATGGAATGTCCTGAATTTCATACACTTACCTTGCAGAGCAGACAATTAAAATTTTTTTTCTGGCTTTATTGAAATATAATAGACAATCAGTTGCTCATATTTACATTGTACAATTCAATGAGTTTTTTCGATTATAGTTTACATACAATAATACACCAGTTTCATTTGTACAGCATAGTGATCAGAGATCCACATAACTTGCAAAGCGATCGCCCCACTAAATCTAGTACCCCTTGCACATTTATTACCATATTGTTAGCTATTTTCCTTATGCTACACTTTATATCTCCATGACTATCTTGTAACTATCTATTTGTACTTCTTAATTCCTTTGCTCTTTTCCACCATCACCCCAACCCCTCTCCCATCTAGTAGCCCTCAAAATATTCTCTATATCTATGAGTTTGCGTCCACTTTTTAGTTGTTGTTTATTTTGTTCTTTAGATTCCACATGTAGGTGATATCATGTGATATTTGTCTTTATCTGACTTACTTCATTCAGTACAATACCCTCTAGGTCCAGCAAGGTAATATTTTTCTCCATCCCTTTCCTTTTAGTCTGTGTGTGTCTTTTAATCTGAACTGAGTCTCTTGTAGGCAGCACATGTAGGGGTCTTGTTTTCTTATCCATTTAGCCACCCTATGTTTTTGTTGGAGCACTTAATTCTTTTCCATTTGAGGGACTTGTTGATAGGAATGTCATTATTACCATTCTTTATTCATGTTTTTGAGACATGTTTTTTCTTCTTAAGGAAGTCCCTCCAACATTTCCTGTAATACCGACTTGGTGTTGATGAATTCCTTTAGCTTATTTTTGTCTGGGAAGCTCCTTACCTCTTCTTGAACTCTCAATGATAGCTTTGCTGGATAAAGTATTCTTCATTGTAGATCCTGGGTTTTCATCACATTGAGTATTTTGTGCCAAGCCCGTCTGTACTGCAAAGTTTCTTTTGATAAATCAGCTGCTCCCTTGTAGGTAACTAACCGCTTTTCTCTTGCTGCTTTTAAGATTCTTTCTTTGTATTTAACCTTTGGCATTTTAATTATGATGTGTCCCATAGTTTCCTTAAATTATTATTATAGTCTTGGTTTCTTTTTTCTTGCCATTCTGATTGGGTGTCCTTGGCTTCCCCATCCTCTATATTGGTGGTTTGACCCTCTTCTTTATCCATTGTGTTGACTACCTCTAATATACTCTTCATCTCAGATAATGTGTTCTTCATTGCTGACTGGTTCCCTTTTATAGTTTCCATTTCCATTTTTACATTTTTTTACCTCTTTGTTAAAGTTCTCACTGAGTTCATCCAACTTCTCAGTTTGCTTGATTCCATTATATCTGGATCTCTGTTCTGTTCTGTCATATGGTTTCTGCTTCTTTATCTTATTTTGGCTGCCTTTCCATATCTGTTTCTAGGTACTAAGCTAAGCTCCTAGGTCTCCCGGTCTTATTAGTGTGGATTTGTGAAGTAGGTGTCCAGTTGCCTCAAAAGACCACACCAGAAACTGAGGTCAGCTGCCACAAGTGTGGGTCTTGGAGCTGCTCAGCAAAGGACACAGGACTCGCAGAGGACAACTGGATGTGGCTTGGATAGGGCTACGAGTTGGGATAGGCAAAGTTTCAGGGAATCCTCTGGGCAGAGAGACCTCTGTTATCCAGTTTGATGAGGTCTCAGCTATGGTGATACTATGTCCACACACTGGGAGGCAGAAGGGCTCAGCTGAGGAACTATAGATACCACCAGAACTTCTGCTTGGGAGATAGCCTAGCCTCTAGCCCTTGCTCAGACAACTCAGTGTACCCCTGTGAGTCCCTGGTGCTCCTGGAGCAGCCCACCTGGCTCTGGTGCTCAGAGCAAGCTAGTCCATCACTGTGAAAGTCCACTTGCAGACGTGGCCCCTTTAAGAGGCGTCTGCTGCTGCTATAGCCTCTGTCTCATTCAGTCGCTGGGGACTGGGCAGCCTTGTGTCTTCGCCCCCTCCTACTCCCTCCTACCTTCTACCATTGCAGGCTGATGTCTCATTTATCTCCCTAGTTGTAGTGCTTCTGTTCATCTAGACACCCAGGTAACTCTGCTTGCTATTTGCTCTGTGTTTCCGTAACACCGCTGTTATGTTCACAAGAGGGAATGAACAAAGCTTCTTATTAACTATATCATTTTGCCCGGTCTAGAGCAGATAATTTTTTTATTCCTTAAATTAATGTCTAAGAGTGCATAAATGTAGTCATGAGTGGTCAAATAAATTAAAATACAATTTAAATATTCAATATTGCAAATGATGTGCAATCCTCAAGTTACTCTACTTACAGTGTCTGATAAACGTTAAGGCATCATATTTCTCTGACAAATTCTTTACGTGACTGGTGATTATATTTTTCTTTAATATTAACTCAATGTAAATTTCTAAAGTCTCTAATTGACTTGGGGACCTAGGACTGGTACCTTTCGCCTAGATTATTGCTGCACCTGACCATATGTTTCACTTCTGAGATGTCTGCTAACATTTTTAATGACTCTCATAACTGGGTGGACAGTTATAAAAATGGTAGGGGGAGGAGCTGACATTTCTAAAAGTTTTTGTGTCACCTTCTGCTGAAGGTACTGTAAAATATTTAAATCTAGTTAATAACACAGCTAATATATTTCTATGTGAATTCAAAATATGCTAATAATATTCATTGGACCATCATAACAATTCACGACACTTAAAATTTCTAAATGCTGAGGTTGCTTTCATATTATATCCCGCTTAATATCAAGGAAGGAATCACTCTGATACATGTGAGAGTTAGACAATATGTGTCGAGACTCCCTAAATGTTCAGGATATGTAACTGATCTAACTTTAGGGAACTGATATTTCTTTGTTTCACCTTAGAGAAAAAAGCGGAGGTTCTTTCCTTGCATATAGAACTTATTTGCTCTGCTTTATCCACCATGACCGTGTATTTGTATCAGTGTTTGTACCAGTCCCCAAGAGTAGTAGTCTTCAAAAGGGGGTTCTTGGATTTCTGGGGGTATCAGAAAACTTTCCAATGGATTTATAGGTACAGAAATTTTTAAGGGAATCTATACCTCCAACATCCATGGGCACAAATTTTAAAATGATGTGCTTAAGCAAATGCTTTAAGACAGTTGTAAGGCAGTTTTTTTTTTTTAAAGTTATGTGCTTATGACTGCTCTTACAGTACTCTGTACCCACTTCCTCTTTCACAATTATTTTTCCCACTTTACAAAAAAAGGCATACTGCTTACCTATCCCAAATATAATATGGTGCTTTGACCTAAGAATAAGATATTTCTCAGTACTAAAGAAAAGGGCAATTCAAAACCTGTTTATAAAGGCTCTCTTAGTCACAGCTTTGTATCTTTCTTTGTCTTGCATGTATATTCCTATCTAGGGCAATGATCCTCAACCATTTTGCCTTCCAGGAGACATCTGGCAATATCTGGAGACATTTGTGGTTGTCACAACTGAGGGGTTGGTGCTACTGGCATCTAGTGGATAGAAGTGGGAAATGCTGCTAAACATTTAAAATGCAGAAGACAGCCACCCACGATGAAGAATTATTCAACTCCAAATGTCAATAATACTCCAGGTTGAATATCCTTTTGTTGTAGGTGACATGTAGCATAAGAAATGGGGGAGTTTTGGCCTATATTACAATGTTCTGGACTCAGATAAATTCTTGGTGGAGAAGCTGGAATGCTGAAAATTTTTCTTCTGATGACCTTGAGGCTAACTTTCCTGATAATTGTAAAAAATGAATGGCTTCTTTAGCATTGGCAAGAAATACTAACATTTAAAAATTTCAATCAGGCGACAAACTCATGGCACAGTTCCAACCCATATCTGTTTTAGGATTAGAATGTTCTAAACTTACAAAACTCATGTAAAGAAATACTAGGCCCATTCACTCACGACTCATCTTTACTTCACTTGCTTATTCTGCTTGATTTCAAGCTAGTGGAGGCAAAAATCTCGACATTTCTCACTGACATATCAACATTACATTTGGAGTAAAAATAAACGCATATTAGGAGTACTTTAATGTACATTTTCTTGAACTTACTCAGACTCATAGGGGAAATATTTTCATTAACTTTTACCAAATATTACTGAATCATATATACAGATTTTTCTACTTTGGTACAGGTTTATGATATACTATTACTTCTCTGCTCATTTATTTTTATTGAGCACTCACTAGATTTAGATTAATCTGAAGGAAATAATTTGTTGATTCTACTGTAAATAATACACATAGCAATCAGTAATAGAATTTCTGTACTTAAACTTATTGATGACCTAATATCTTCTCTTCATTTTGCTGTTAATTTCCACTAAATAGATTAAATTGTGTTCTTAAAAGCAGAAATTCACTTATGTATGGATAGAACAAAATGTTCCTAAAAACAGTCTTGGATATAATGCCCTAAACTTTAGAGGTCCAGGTTCACTTATTTTGGATTAATTTCTCTTTCCTCGATGTTGACACACTGTTCTACATTTGTCAAATGCATGATTATAAAATTAATCATTTCTACAGTGAAATTATACACACACATTATTTTAAAGTGTCCATCTCTTTGTCATTCTTTTTAAAGGTACTTCCATATGACATAAAAAATGAGAAAAGATCTCTATTCAAAGCATATTGATTTTTAATTTCCAATTTCAGGGTTTGTTTGTTTTGTTCTATCCCATTTCATCTAATTGAGATTCACAAACAGGTATAATTATTTGTTTTTTTTTTTCATAAGAATAGGTAAAGCCTTTTGAGTATACTTCTAAGAATTAAGAAAATGAAAGAACCTAATATAGGTGTAAAACTAGTTTTGTGAATCAGGTAGCTTCTAATTCTTTGCTTCAACAAAATTGAAGAATTCTAAACTCAAGTTATGAGATTATTAAAAATAATATTTAATAATAGCTCACTGTGATTTTTGGCATGTAACTAAGAAGAAATTTTAAAAATTGTGTGAAGTTGCTACAACAAAATTCTTTCCATTCTCATACTTATTCTGTTCCCATGCTTATTTACGTGGACAATATTCTTTAGTTATTCCATGGTAAAACTTTAAAAAGGGAATAGAAATCATATAGAACCAGCCTCATAATAATGATAAGTAACTTTCATCAACATGAAGTTGGGAAAATAAAGCCCCTATCCATCTCAGTAGGAAATGCATTTTCAGTTAAATTTTACTTTTTAAAAATTTACACTTTTTATAATTTTATTTACCAAAATCTGTTTTTTATAGTTTTGATCAACTGTGTATCTCTAGTAATTGTAATATTATCTTAATAATACATATGACTTTTTAAACACTTAGAACAGGAAATAAATTCATTTTAAGAACATAGTTTATTACAAGGAAGCATAATAGATAGATCAAGAAAAGATTTCCAAGAATAAAAGTGCATTATATTAGGATGTAGCCAGGTTTGAAAACTTAAAAAAAAAAGCTACAGGGGGAGTAAAATGAAAAATTCAAAGGAATAAAAAGGAGCAATGTAAAATTTCCAGCCATTAAGGAGGTGTTCGTGGATTTAAAATTTTAATTATAGGTGTCAAAACATTATGGTATTCAGATTCCTCTGGACATGTGACAGAGTGATTAAACATTTATTTAAACATGTTTATATATATATATATGTTGGAAATTATATTCTTTGCAACTATTTGAATCGAATGCTGAGAATTTCAGATCAATTTAAGCCTGTGGGAGGAGGCATATAATTTTTCACATTTCTTTTAGAAAGATGTGAAGGGAAGTCCACTGAAATAGTCTTCTCCCTCCTGTGTTACACTAATAGGAACACGGACATATAACTGGAGAAGAGAATCCAGGTGTCAGCAGAGACACGAAGGAGTAGACATTTTTTCAGTTCTACGCCAGAAAGCCCTCTCAAATTGAGGAAGGAAACACTTAGGGAGAGATATACTAGTCTTGAAGCCCTTGGCATTCTGGAGGGCCTGCCCCACACCCCAAATCACCAAACTCCAAAGCTCCCTTTAGCTCAGTAGGTTCTTTAATTTTCATCAATTCTTCCCACAGCAGAGAACCAATGTTTTAAATTGCTCTCCCTTATTTACTTGAAGATGAAGATATTACCCTCTTCTACTACCTGTGAAGAGAAAATGACCTGTGAAAAGAAACTGACCTGAGTGAGGCTAGGGTACAAGTGGGGGTCGTGAGGTCCTAGAGTAAACTATTAGTCTTGTATTTGAAGTAGTGTAAACATTTTAATGCCAGACCCAAGGTAGAATCTGGAAACAATGGGGGAAAAGAGACATAAGTGCTTGGCATTAGACGATTGCTCTGCCCGAAGTCTATCCTGGAGCAGCAGCTGTTCTCCAACAAACCCTACATCTGGGGACAACACCAAGTTTCTTTGACTTCAAATTTGCTCCTCATATACACAAATAGGGGTATATACCTCTTTTGACTAACAGATCACACAGCTGCATAGCACCAGTTACACACACCTACATGTTCACCTAGAGTTTTTCTGTTTGTTTTCAATCTAGTCTGGGATCTGGTATCCTCCCATTGAATCACTGGTGAAAATTTTGGGAAATGGAGTAGATCTCTTGAAGATAAGGGAATCATTTCTCAGGTGTCTGAGTGCTCTTCTGGTCACTCTCCAGGCTCCTGGCTCAGTTTCCCCAGCCCCTATGAATATGCATTGGTGATCCGAATGCACACCAGGCACACGGAACTCAGCCCACAGGGATTGGTCATACCTGCCAGAAGCCTGACACTGGGCAGTAAGACGCCTGGAAAACCTGAACTGCTGATTTTGCAATTCTCCATTTTGACTGACTCTTAGACTGACCACCAGTGTGAGTTTTTACCATGTTCTTGCCTCACCTCTTCTGACCCAAGCAGCAGTAAAACTCACATGATCATGCTGTCTCCCTCGGATATGGTTTCTTGGCCACACTTACCCCTTACCAGGTTGAGACTTTCCTGCCTGATGGTCATACTCCCTTCCATCCTCTTCAGTGGGCCCCAACATTTTTTGGCACCAGGGACCGGTGCTCCTATGAGAATCTAATGCCTGATGATCTGAGGTAGAGCTGAGGCGGTGATGCCAGCGCTGGGTAGTGGCTGCAAATACAAATGAAGCTTCCTTGTTCACTGGCCACTCACCACCTGTGTGCCCAGTTTTTAACAGGCCACAGACCGGTACCAGTCCACCGCCCTGGTGTTGGGGCCCCTGCTTTATAACACAGGATCATCTATGGCCTGGCATAAGAGTCACAGGATATTGTATATCTCACCTACTTAGAGTGGGAAACCCACAAGTCAAGCTAAAGAAACCTGGTATCCTCACTCTTTCTACTCAAGTTTTTCAATTATATTATTCAAACTCCACTCTAATAACCAGAATGAAGAATAGGAAGAATAGGAAGATGGCTTTAGGATGGGGAGAGGAGAGGACTTATGACTCTTTAGTCTGGAACCCTGGTCCTGCTTAAGTTCCTTGGATGGCTCCTGACTTCTCTGGTCTAAGAGGAGATTCCTTCCCCCCAAGTCCCCCTGCACCCCATCTCTGGCTGAGGGTGGTGTCTGAGAGACAAAACAGCTGTTCCACAAATTGAGACCACCTCAGGTTGAGAGGAATGAGTTACATCCACAGTAACGCTGTGAGATCTGATGGGATAGTATTCTCCTGGGACCCTCCCCAAAGGACCTGGATTCCTTACATAATCCCGCCAGAACAGGAACAGCCAGAGTACATCTCCCTCAAGCAAAGGGTCTAAAGGTCTGGGCAGACTCCCCTCCCTCCGTCGTCAGAGACGAGACCCATTCTCACTGTTCTCCCCCACCTCACCTCACTCCAGGGCTCCACGGGGGGAACGAGAGAGGAATCTAGCCTAGAAGTCTGCACCCCTTCCTCACTACCCCAGCTGGGTGATCCCTGGGGGACATAACTACCGTCCCAAATTTCACCCAGTAAAGGCGTCTCTTGCGCATCCTTCAGGTATTCGCAGAGCGTGCGGATGTCTCTTTCTCCAGGCAGGCGCTCCAGGAGTTTGCACAACAGGCATCTTCCACTGAGCCTGGTGTTTCGAGCCGCAGTGTCCATTTCTGTCCAAGTCTCCAGGCCCGGGTGCAGGCATTTCAGTGACGGCCGCTGGAAAAGCAAGACTCGCCACGCATCACCCACCGCCCGGATCCGCCTTGGCTGGGTCCAGAACCAGGGGTCCGGCCTCATCCACCTCAGGCCCTGAGACTATAATTGCTCGGCGCTGTGAGGGCGGAGGAACACTGCCCCACCATCCTGCTTAAACCCCAGCTGGGTTATTCTCCGCGGTCCCCGGGAGGAGTCGGTTCCCAGAAGTCCCTGAGGGCGGCCCAATGGTGACCTGAGACGCCCAGCCTTCGCGCACCGCCCCCAAGCTTCTCCCTTGTGGTCTGCGCCGTTCCGGGTCGCAGCGTTGTGACCCCACACTCCTCCTCTCCCGCTCCCGCCCAACCCCGGCCGCATGCTCACGCGGCCCCCAGCCGCCAGGCAGCGGCGCCAGGCAGGGGCGCGGCGACCCAGAAGTATCCCGCACTGAGCAATTCCCGCGACCCGACTCCCACCTCTCATAGCTTGGGCAAACTGCCTGCCCCTCGCAGCCCCTGAGCAGCTGCTACGTAGCGAGTTATTCGCCTGCAGGGAAGGTGCGGGGAGGAGAGAGGTGGACAGGGGTGGAAGAGGAGGTACAGAGTGGAAAGAAGGGGAGGGGGCAGAGTTGGAAGAGGGAGGCGTAAGAAGGTTGTGTGTGGAGGAGGTGAAGTGTTGTTACCGCTTCAGCATTTTCCTCTCAAAGGCAGTTTCTCTTCTCTTGGTCCACCTCCGGTGGCTTCTCACCACGATTCTCACCTCTGCGGCTAGGCGGTGAAAGGAGCGGTGGGGGGATTTCTAGCAGCCCTACCATGTTCCCCAGATGCCACAGCATGAAGCAGGAACTTAGCATTTAAGTCCACTCCAGCTGACGATAGATGCGAATCTTGACTAACCCTGGAATCTTCCCAACAGGCAGGTGAAGAAGAGGGACGTCATCTGTCCCTGAACAGAGTAACCTGAAACCGCAGGTAACATGGATGTGGAAATGTAGGGTCGTGGGAATCCTCAGCACTGGCCGAGCTCATACGTCCACTTCCAAACCTCATCGACGACCCTGGAAGACGATATATAAGGAATGGAATAAAAATATTAAAAAATATATATACTATTTACACATAAAATATTTTATCTTTAAAAATATAATATACAGCATAGTAATATATAAAATGTATATATATTTTGTAACAAATATTTTAATGGAGACGTAGTGGAATGGAATAGAATAAAATAGAATGGAAAACACCAGCCTGCATCACGGATAGTGAGGGTAAGTATAGTTTCGTAAATGTTTGTTTCAGTTAAATATATTTGTGTGCGTGTGTGTGTGTGTGTGTGTGTGTGTATTAGCAAGTACATATATATATGCATATATATATATGTATGTGTATATACATATATGAAACGTTTTTTAAAAGTTTGAAAAACACTGATCCCTCTTCCTGAACTGAACACTTAGTGCCTTTGCTCCCAAGGTAACTCAGAGGTCTTCTCTGAGCCATTCCCTCTTCTCCCTTAGACTCATCTTTAAGGGAAGGAGCCCTGAGCCAGAGTGATCTTCCTTTAGGAAATGACAATTGGTGGAGAGGGGCTTTGCTCTTTCTTTCTGAAGCTAGCTGCTGGTTGGGGGTACCACATAATGACAACTCATTTTTCAGTCACATTGAATCTTTCATTTTAGTCATCTACAGAAGGAATTGAATTACTGTATGTCTTCTCACAAAGGAAAGTCAAGCCCTGATTGCTACACCAGCAAGATGTGCCAAACACTTAAAGAAAAAATAATTCTAATCCTGCAGAAGTTCTTACAGAAAATAAAAAGAGAATATACTCCCCTACTCATTTTATGAGGCTTTTATGTTAAAAACATAACCTATTTGTTAAAAACAGGTCAAAGATACTAGAAGAAAGAGAAATTACAAGTCATTCTCACCCACAAATATACATATAAGAGTCCTAAACACACAGTTCACATGGGCTTTTACACAGGAGAAATAAATCTCACACTCAAATAAAAGAAGAAATCATTAACTTCTTGGGAAAGCTGAAGATTGCACAGTAACACTTTCCTTCCAAGGAAAAGTAAGGAGAAAATGTACGTATCTGGAAGAGGGGAAAAAAAATCACACAGCTTCCCTGTGTTTCTTTCTCTTCCCTCCCCACTTTTTAAATTAAAGTCTTGAGATGGCGGGTTGTGGATCCCTGTTACTGAAGAAAAGCAACCAGTTGGAACCTCTGTTCTGCATTTGTGTCCACCAGCAGGGTGGGAATACTCTCTATCTCAGCCTCATTTTTCACGGAGAATCATTTTGAATTATAGCTTGAAATAATTATATCTTGATCAACTCAGAAAAAAATGATAAGGCATATGCTGGAATTACAATTGTTCTCCTATATCGGTGGTTCTCAGAATGTGGTCTCTGGACCAGCAGCTTCGACCTCACCTAAAAATGTATTACAAATGCAAATTCTCAGGTTTGAACCCAGACCTACTGAATCAGAAACTGGATGTGGGGTCCAGGAATCTGTATTGCAATAATCCTCCAGGAGATTTCAATGCACTTAAGTTTGAGACTGCCCGCTCTGATTGAACTGATATACACTCACAGATAAGACTCTACCTAGACCCATACCACCAGTGACTTCTGGCAAAAACCTTTCAACAAAAATCAACAACAAAATAAAATTCTGTTTTCTTACTTTCTAATAGTTCTGGATTTTCAGTACAAATAATTCCTTAACAATACAGTT